TATCTATCTATCTATCTATCTATCTATCTATCTATCTATCTATCTATCTATCCATCCATCCATCCATCCTATCTATCATTTTCGAGACAGAGTTTCTCTGTGTCCTGGCTGTCCTGGAACTCATTCTGTAGACTAGGCTGGCCTGGAATTCAGAGATCTGCCTACTCATGCTTCCTGAGTGCCGGGTTTAAAGGCATGCACCAGCTCCCACCCTGTCATCCCTCCACCCCACCCCTACCCCCACCCCAAGCTGGGCTCATATTTTTTGAACGCTTCGTTCGAAGTTTGAAACTGTTTGGGAAGGATTAGGTATGGCCTTGTTGGAGGAGGTGTGGGCTTTGAGGTTTCAAAAATCAACGCCATACTAATTGAATCACTGCCTCCAGCTTGTGGATCAGATGTGAACTCTCAGTTACTGCCCTAGCACCATTCCTGCTGCCATGCTCCTCCTCCATGATGGGCACAGACTCTAATACCCTCTGGAACTGTGAACCCCAAATTAAATGCTCTGCCTTGGTCATGTTTTTCCACAGCAAAACAATGTTACTAAGACATGTGGGTGCTGGGAATCAAACCTTAATATTCTGGAAGGGCAATCAATGCTCTTAATGCTAAGTCATCTCTCCAGCCACTAATCCATATTCTATCATTACACATACATTCAAGTTCATTCCAGAACATTATTCTTTCACAAATATTCAGCTCAGGCCATTCACAACTCTTAGAAGTCCTCGTTGACAATCTTGTCTGCTTCCTACTCTGAGTCAGATTCCTATCTTCTTGTTTCCCAACATTCAGGTCATCATCTACTATGGTATTAATACTTAACATATTATTGTGTCTGAGTCTATGAGCATGTCAATGACTGAAATAATTTTATTCATCTTCTTAACCTAAATAGCTAGCATCACGCCTGTCATATTGATGACTGACTTGTTAAATTAACTGATATACAGGCCTGTAAGAGCATAGTGACCTTTCCAACAATTTCACAAATGAATACTGCTTGAGACTGATCTAAGGGACAGTCATTTAAAACAGACTAAGTGGCCATCTTTGTACATATTGTGCTTTGAATCCTTTTTATTTAGTCATCTGTTACAATCAAATGAAGAAAATAGTTATTCTTGTTTTGTATTCAGATGAGGTATCAGGCTCACAAGATAGTAAATAAATTGTGTAAGGTAACATACTTAATTCGTGGGGTTTCCTTCTTTGTACCCTATGGCGCTAACTGCTACATGACAGTGCCTTTAATAGTTAGCTGAACAGAGGCAGGCATAGCGATGTAAGTCTATTAAGCTCAGAACACTGGAGACCATGGCAGGAAGGCCTCAAATTCTGTTCAGCATGGCCTACACAGGAAAACTGTGTCTTAAAAAAAAAATTCCCTGGGTGTGATGGTGCACACCTTTAATCCCAGTACTTGGGAGGAAGAAGCAGGTGGATCTCTATGGGTTCAAGATCAGTATGGCTTACTGTCCAGTTCCAGGACATCAAGGGCTACGAAAAGAGATCTTGTTTCAAAACACAAAACTCCCAAATAAAAAGTGGTGAATAAAGGGAAGGGGCTTATTTTAGTCAAAATGCCCTGGGTTCAATTCCCTGTACCTCAAAGAAAAAGCATCCTCAGAATATCTACTTCCCCACCACATTCCTCTGTGTGTCTGATCCTCTCTCTCCACCTATATTCGTGTAGAAAGCTACAAAGGCTCACAGCTCTCATATGCCTTGGAAAATGTGCCCACACATAACTTGATTTGTGTTGTATAAAGAAATATGCCAATTGATAACTACTACAGCACTTTGGGACATTTTATTTAGGAACAAAGAGAGACAATGTGGTGATTTTAGTATTTTTTGCCCTTTAAAACTCTTTAAAATGGAAAGTCTAGTGTTTCAGCAGCAATGTTACTCATGCCTCTAAGCATGTTAAGCTCCCTACTTTTTTACATTTAGTATGTGAATGCACATACATACACGTACATATGTAGGGCAAAGGAAAACTTGCAAGAATTGGTTTTTCTTCCACCATGTGGATCCTAGGGATCAAGCTCATGCCACGAAGCTATGAAATGTTGACCCACTGAGCCAGCCAGCTCAAAATTAGCTGTTCATAAAAACAAAATGTGAAGCAATTCATAGAAAATTCTAGACAAGAAGTCAAATACCATAAGCTTTCCATTGTCACTCTTCTGATATTGACTGAGGGTATGGAGAAATTTGATCTTTGCCATCTTGAAACCTGACTGGAAGAGGTGACATTTTTGGTTGTAGTTGTTTGGTGCTGAGAATCGAGCACAGGCCCTTGTGTTTGCTAGGTAAATGCTGTGGTACTGAGCTGTCCAGAGCCCTATTATGACTTTTAAATCATGGTATTGTTTCCAAAAGAAGATACCAGAAGAACAAAAAGAACAAAATAAGTAAAAGACAGAAGACAAACTTTTTCATTTCTGAAAGCTTTGGTGTTCTTGGGACACACCCAGCACTGCTGCTTCTGGGCTGTGGCAGCTAACTCCAAGCTGCAGTCCTTCATGCAGTGACGAATACGCTGCACTGTGGGCTTTGTATCCTGTCTGTTTTGATTTCTGTATTAATCTTAACTTGTAATTCAGCATTAAAAGCTGGAGATGTGGGAGGTGAGATGGGCATGTGCCTCAGAGAAGTCCCAGATAAGGAGTGATACAGAAGAAACGGACATTCAGCCTCTCCCTCCTCTTTCTTCCAGTCTTCAAGTTTTTATGGAGACCTAGAACAATTAGCAGAAGAGATACCAATGTTTATTTAATGTTGACAAGATCCACTAAAGAAGTCAATAAATGTCTATTGGTCTATAGCTTCAGGTTTATAATTGACCCCACACTAGCAAATGAGAGGTACAAGGATGATTCACATTCTAGTTTTATTTTTAAACTTCTTTTTTAAAGATTTATTTATTATGCATACAGTGTTCTGCTTGTATGCCAGAAGAGGGCATAAGATTGATTGTAAGCCACCATGTGGTTGCTGGGAATTGAACTCAGGACCTCTGGAAGAGCAGCCAGTGCTCTTCACCTCTGAGCCATCTCTCCAGCCCCCAGATTCCAGGTTTTAAATACTAAGTTTGGAATGACTTGAAATATATGGATTAGATAAGCAGAGAGGTAAGGCAGACAAAACATAGATTAAAAAATATTGATGCTGAGGAAAGTTTAATGTGATTTCTTCTTGAGTTACATTTATTCAGTGTGTGTGTGTGTGTGTGTGTGTGTGCATGCGTGTGCACACACATGAGCGTGTACACACACGAATATGTGTGTACTTGGATGCATGTGACACAGCAAATATGTGGAACTCAGAGGGCAGTTTCCTCAGTCTAAGAATCTGGAGCCACCTGAGGTTACAAAGACACTTGTCCAAACAATGCCAAAACAAATATGTGGTTGGTTTACCAAGTGCAAACAAATTCATTCATTTACCCAAAGGCGAAATTTATCCACAAGGCAACACAAACTAGAGAAATTAGGACCCATAGAGAAATCTTTTCCAACTTTATTAGAAAATACCCTTTTCCAGTTGTGGTGACACATGCCTATAATCTCTACGTTAAGAGACAGAGGTAGAATGATTGCTACAAGTCTGTGGCCAGCCTGGGCTCTATAGGAAGACTTAGTCTCAAAAACAGACAAACAAACAACATAAAAAAATCAGGTAGTGGTCAGGCAGTGGTAGCACATGCCTTTAATCCCAGCACTGGGAGGCAGAGGGGTGAATCTCTGTGAGTTCTAGGCGTACACAGTGAGACTTTGTCTCAACAATCAAAGAAGAAATGATAATAGAGAATAAGGCATAGATGAAGAGAAGATGTGTACCACTACCACCTGGCGCTAATAATTTTTCAAACGTCATTCAGACATAGGAATGAGAGTACTGCATTACCAAAAATGATTCCTTCCTGCACCAAGAAAGTATTAGCTTATCTATTTTCTTTTTCCAACGACCATGTTCTGTTGTTTACAGAGTGCAATATTTCCACCCACTACTTCAGACAACAATACCTTTCAGATCAAATCATTAAAAGAAAAAAAAACAAAAACAAAACCCTAATAATGTATGTAGGTCATCCCTCGGCCAATTTGGGACCTTAGAGAAGCTGCTCTACTGGTTTTCCTGAAATAGCACCATACACCATAAGCTAATCTCAGTCTAAGATGCTTTACAAATGTGAATGGAATGACTATTGCCAAGAACCTGATTATGTTTATCCTAGAGTAGGAGAACTCTAGATTCAGATGCATTCTGACATTGTTCATAATATTAGTTTTAAAGATTCATAGATAACAGAATGTTTCTGAGGAAAAAAAAGTCGATTTTTTTTTTCTAGAAACTGGGGGTGACGAACTTAGGAGACGGCTCAGTTGGTAAAGTTCCTGACTGAATTTGATTCCCACCATTCATGTGAAATGGCAGGTAGGCAGCTGGCATCTGTTACCGCAGCCCTGAAGGGGTTGAGATAGGCAGATTCCTGAAGCTCACTGGCCAGCTAGCCTAGCCAAATGGATGAGTCCCAGTTTTGGTCAGAAGCCGTGTCTTAAAACGAAGGAGGAAAGCAATCGAGGAGGAAGTTAATTGATGTTGATCTCTGGTCCACAAATACACCTTCACACACACATATATATCATACACACATGCAAACACACACACATACCCTCCAAAAAGGAGGACCTAGGGTGTATACATATTAGCATAATTAAAATAAAATGACATAAAAAGCTTAAATCTAATTGGCTATAGTTTTCCCAAGGGTGCAGGTTATTATGACAGGGTTTTTGTTGTTGTTTATTTTGAGACACAATTTCTCTGTGTTACCTTGGTTGTCCTGGAACTCACTCTGTAGACCAGGCTGGTCTCAAACTCAAAGATCTTCCTGCCTCTGCCTCCCAAGTGCTGGAATTAAAGGCATGCACCACCACTGCCCTGTCAATCTTTAAAGGTTGTAATTTTGTGAGTACTTAACTATGTGGCAGGTACTGACACTTATATTTTATTTTCTGAGACAGGATCTCACTATGGAACCCCTGCTGTCCTAGAATTCAATATGTAGAATGTGTAGACCACAATGGTCTCAAATTCACAAAGATTCACTTGTCTCTGCCTCCTAAATACTGGGATTAAAGATGTGCATCTGGCCTCATGTACTTCAAATACAGTTTTTCATGTGATAGTAGGAGGGGAGAGAGAGATTGTGTGTGTTGCTGGGAATTGGGCCTAGCGCTTCCCCCATGCTAGGCAAAGGCTCTATTAAAGAGCTATACTCCTAAGAAGAGGAGCTATACTCCTAAGAAGAGGAGCTATACTCCTGCTGCTATGAGCAGCCCCGTGAGACTAGGGATTATGATCCTTGGAGTAAAGCTCATAGAAAGTCAATAATTTTCTAAAGATTACAGACAGCAAGTCTCTACGCCTTGGCATAGAGGTACATTCCAATCTCCCACAGCTCAAGTACCTCACCATTATCCTATTTTGCTTCTCAACACTGTCAGTATCAACCCTTGTAAAATCCTATCTCCATATTTAACTTTTTGATTTTGAACATTAGTACATGGACTTGTCTACTTAATAACTAAACCTTGATGCCTGATAAGCAAACAATGTGTTTCAGTAACTGTTACCACCTGTCTCAGTTGCCCACGCCCTAAATCTTGTGGGCATCCTTGATCCTCTATATACAGTCAAACTTGCAGCAATTTTCCCCCTTTGAAGAAAGGATTTATTTTGGCTTATGGTATGAGGGGCTATGGAACCTAATGGAGAGGAAGGCATGGCAGGAGGAGCACGAGGTGACTGGTTATACTGCTCTGCAGTCAGGAGGCAGACAATGGCGCGTGCTGGGATTCGCTGGCTTCTTCCTTTTCCCCTTACTCTTCAGTCTGCGATTCTAGTCCACGGGACGGTGCCACTCATATTTGGGTTCGTCTTTCCTCTTCAGTTAAACCTCTCTCAAAGACATTCCAAAGAAATGCCCAAAGGTTCTGTCCATTAGGTAATGCCCAAAGTAGTCAAACTAATGATTGTCACAAGTCTACTACTTGTTAACTTTACACCAAAACACATTGTTCCATCCCTGGTTCTCAAAGGCTCATTCTAAATGGGTCAGCTATATCATCTCTTTTTTAAAAAATATTTTTATGGTTTATTTAACTTTATTTGATGTGCATTGGTGTGAAGGTGTCAGATCCCCTGCAACTGGATCTTCAGACACTTGTGAGCTGCCATGTGGGTGCTGGGAATTGAAGCTGGGTCCTCTGGAAGAGCAGTCAATGCTCTTAACTACTGAGCCATCTCTCCAGCCCCTATATCATCTCTTCTAAAGCTCAGAGATGACTGCAGAACAAGGGGAGGGATGAGTGTAATTCCCAGAGAATGGGGAGACGTGTAATAAAGAGTCATCTGCAGGACATGACATAGCCAGCACACTCAGGAAATGCAGTTGTGGCTATCTGTATAAGACTTGCACAAGGTTGGACTAGTGAACATTTTCATCATGGATTGGGGAGGGGCCATGAGGCCCAATGCCTTTTTAAAGTAGCAGTCATCTATTGTTGGGGGAGATGTTATTTTCTCCAATTGTGTAGCTACTGATCAGCTGGGTTTTTTTTTTGTTGTTGTTCTAGTAATTTAACCTCCCACTACCATCAGGCAAGAAATTCTAATTAAATTTAGTGGGACACCCCCCCCCATAAAAGTAGGAGGGGAAATTGGTGAGAAAACTTTCAGTGGGGGAGAGAAGGAGATGAGAAATGGGAACAGGAGTATGAAAACAAAATTCATTATGTAAATATAAGACACTGTCAAACTACTAAAATTTTCCAAAGTTCAAAGCTTCTTCTGAGACTCAGGAAATTGTCTACCCATAAAATAGATAAGTTACATACTTTGAATATATATGATTGCACAGAATAAGCATTTACTATCCAAAAGAAATAAAAAGGGTGATGGTGAGAAACAAATAGCCAAAATAAGACCAAAACCCAGTAGGAAAAACACCAAATCCTGTAGCACATGGTACACCTCAGGATTTATGTTAGCATTACCTATATTTCAACAGACTTAGCAGTCCCACCGTTCTAACTCTGTGGTCAGTACCACATGTAGACTCTCTTTTGGGCTGTTTCTATTCTTTGTCTACAGCTTTCTTCAGATCATCTTCCATGGCCCTAGTATCTTCAGCATCCTAAGGTCCCCATTGTAATTTTTTTTTAAAGTGTTTTTCAAGACAGGGTTTCTCCATGTAGTTTTGGCTGTCCTGGAACTTACTCTGTAGACCAGGTTGTCCTGGCACTCAGAGATCTGCCTACCTCTGCTTCCTGAGTGCTGGGATTAAAGGTGTAATACCATTACATCAGGCTCCACTGTAATTTAGTATTCATTGACAGCTTCATGCACGCAATGGTTTCCTCAGGGTCCTTGTAGAGGATCTGACCTTGCTTTACATTGCCTGGCCTTGGCAGCTTTTGGAAATGTTAAATGTAAGTCTTCATGACTTTGTAATTATTGCATTTTGTATATCTACAAAACAAGCTCCAGGAATGATGCTTCCAGGGTCTGCTGCCAGGTTCAGATGTATGGTGGCCTGTTTTTACCACAGCTGTAGTTGCCTCTATGCAACTTGGTGGCTGAACCTTGTGGAAAAAAGCTTCCCTAGGCAGGCAAGCCCATCAGCAGCATTTTCAATTCAGGTTCATCTTTTGAAGTGAATTTTCACTTTCACAAGTTGGAGTCTTCATGAAGTGGCGGAGTCTTATCCTCAGGGCATCTTTCCTATTTTCCCACTGAAGAGAGAGGGGTTTCTCTTTACTAGCTCGAATTCACTCGACAATCCCAGTTGATTTATCCATGCTTACCTTTTAAACTCACACTCTTTTCTCACATCTTTGTGCTGTCACTGTAGCACTGACTGAGAACACTGAGCAGTAACTGTGCCACAGCCTGAAAGTTACACTGTTGAAATTTCTAATACCAAACAGGTTAGTCTATTACCTACTCACTCAAAAATTTCAGGACATGGACAGAATGTATTCGAGTTCTTTGCTAGACTCAAACAAATGTGCCTCTAACACATTAAGTGTCTCATTCCTCTTCAAAACACATGAGCCTGGCCTCTTCTCTCTCTCTCTCCCTCCCTCCCTCCCTCCCTCCCTCCCTTCCTTCCTCCTTCCTTCCTTCCTTTTTTTTTTGGATCTAGTTCATTCAGTATTTTTTTTATTAATTTTATTTTTATTGAGCGGTACATTTTTCTCTGCTCCCTTCCCTGCCTCTTCCCTCCCCTTCAACCCTTCCCTAGGGTCCCCATGCTCCCAATTTACTCAGGAGAGCTTGTCATTTTCTATTTCCCATGTAGATTAGATCCACGTATGTCTCTCTTAGGGTCCTCATGGTTGTCTAGGTTCTCTGGGATTTCTACTCTATTTCTTTTGCCTTTTGCCCAAACTCTCACCAGAATGGCCCTTTAGTCTCTGCTTATGATATTTTAAGGTTTCTTTAATCCACTGTGCCAAAATCTTTCAAGTTCCTTCAGAAAGTCCAAGACCCACATGGTCAAGCGCATCACAGCACCTTGGTACCAATTTTCTGTAGCATTTTTCTCATTGCTGTACAAAAAAAATAGCTGACAAAATTAACCTAATGGAAGAAGTGTTTGTTTTAGCTCATGGTTTGAACAGATACAGTCTTCTCATAGCAGGGAGCACATGACTGTGAGGAGGCGCACACTGCGTCTGTACTCAGGAATCCAGAGCTGGGCTGGTGCTCTCATCGCTGAACCTGTTGGATCTACCTAAAAGTACACCCAGACTTAACAACGTGTATCTCCAGTGCCATAAACTAGCTCAGGCCATTATTACTCTCCACCTGGATGTCTGAGATAGTCTCAAAATTAGCTGATGCCATCGTAGCCTATGCTCTATGAAGTACCCAGCTATCTTTTAAAGAACAAGAATCATATTTCTTTACCCTTCTGTTTGAAACACTGCCGTAATGTAAGATTCTTAGGATGACCTATACTTCTCACTGTCCCCTGCATTATCTGCTTTCTCTGTTTTTTCAACCCTTAATAGTGTTTAGCTGCTCAGCATATTTTAGTGATGTTGGTATTTTCAAATATCAAAATTTCAAATATGGTCCTGCTTTTAATTTTTTACTATAACTTAATTTCATGTGCTTTGAGAGGACGGAAAGAGCAAATTTGGAGTGGATTTTGTTGTTGTTGGTTTTTGTTTGCGATATGGTTCCTCCACAGAGCCCAGCCTTTGTGGCTTCAAAGTTCAATCCTCAGTCTCCAGCACTGTTAGAATTACAGGTGTGAACCACCACACACATTGCTGGAGGTCCAAGGAAACTAGTAAAGGTATGAAGAGTAGGTCAAAGTTTGAGAACAAATTTTTAAACGTGACAGTACTATTGAGTAGTATTGAGGGTCAGCATATTACTAAACATGTTTTTTTGGATTGTGGCCAGCCACTTCAGTACCCAATGGGAGATGTGGAGGGTAGGGTACTGTTAAGAAACAGGCAATGCAAAGGGTTTTTAAGGTCTTCAGAAATTGTTATGGTTAATATCATCAACTTGATGGATCAAGAGTTAGTTAGGAGATGAACCTCTGGGCAAGTCTGTGTGGGACTTTCTAGATACAATAATTAAGGTGGGAGATTCACTCTAAATGTGAGCTGTAATATTCTGTAGGTTGGGGTCTAGACTGAATAGTAAGGAGAAAGTGATCTAAACACCATCATTCATCTTTCTGACTGCTGCTACATTGTGACAAGCTGCCTCATACTCCAGTCACCATGCTTTCTTGCCAGGATAGACCTGTCCTCAAACTGTGAACTAAATTAATTCCCTCCTTAACTTACTTTTGCCTGTTATTTTGTCATAAGAGAAACAGTGAGCACAAGAAAGTTACTGAATTATTTCCATAGCTGTAACACAACAGGGATGCTGAAGAACAAAATGTGTTTATGTCTATGGCTTGCCCCAGTTGTGGCAATAACTTATAATTGCTAAATAGAAACCAACTCAGCTGGGCAGTGGTGGCGCAGGCTGTTAATCCCAGCACTTTGGGAGGCAGAGGTAGGTGGATCTCTGTGAGTTTGAGGCCAGCTTGGTCTACAGAATGAGTGCCAGGCTCCAAAGCTACAAAGATAATCCCTGTTTCAAAAAACCAAAGCCAAACCAAAACAAAAGAAACAAAGAACCACTACTCAAAGAACCAACATAGAACCTAAAGCTGATGTTAAGAACTTTGATTTTCCTAGGCATGTTGGTGCATTTCTTCAACCCTAGCATTTGGGAGGCAGAGGCAGGAAGGCCAGGAGTTAAAGGTCATCCTTGGCTATCTTTTAAAAAAATTTAAAAAGGCTCAGCAGGTACTGAAAGTCACTTTCCACCAAGCCTGATGGGTTTAATCCATCTTCCAGAGCCCACACACTGAGAATGAGCTGACTCCCACAAGTTCTCTTCTGACACCCACATGCCACGCCCCCAACCCAGTAAATGTATTTCTTTTTAAAGGAAATAAATTTGATCATTTGAAAACAAAATAGACAAATGAATATGGGCGCATATATATATATATATTTCATGTTTCAAAGCCATTTTCTAAAGGGAATGTATATCTTGAGTACCTTATTTGCTAAGCTTTTCAATAAATTAAGGATTCAGCTTCTAAAAGGTTTCCAGCCTGGCCAGTCCTTCCAGTTACCGGAAGAGGGAGGCTTCTTCTGCCTCTGCTTCCTTCAAAACAATTTCCTGGCTCTCCTGCCCTATTTACAAGGTCCAAAGCAAATAAAACAACTCAAGTCAAGTGTTGGAAAGGCATAAAATGCCTTGTCATGGCTTCTAACTAATTTGTTCAATACTTCTCATTTATCGATTGAATTTTAAGCTTCCGTGTAACCATGAACCTTCTGTTTTGAGAGAGGGCGTCTTTCCCTTCTCCTCTGTTGAACTAGCCACAGTGACACAGGTCACTTCTGCACCACCTTCCGATAAGCAGTCTTACACTTGGCCCTTGGAGATGTGGTTTGCCTGTATTGTTTCCTGACTCTCCTGTATTTTACATTTCATCTAATAAATAGTAGGTATCAGAAAGCCTTTCTGCTCCACTGCTGGGGACTGAAACCGGGGTCTTTGTGCACGGTGGGCAAGAATGCAATCACAGGGCTACACTCTTGTCTCCTTTCTGTTTTAGAGCCTCATGTGCCTCTGCTATAACATGGACACTAGGACTCAGTGAAAATGAGCGCTAATTTTTGGAAGGCCCTTAGATATCAACTGAGGAAAGCCATGGCGTTCGTATTGTTTAGGACCCTCAAGAAGTACTTGTCAAAATGAATTCAGGAAACATCTCTTTACGATTACGTCGCATCGGGACCCGAGAACCGCTGCAGATCCACATGAGTGGACAGCAACACTCCAACTACCTGTCACACAATTTGGAGTTAAGCGTACTACCACCCTCCAGGTAGTAACTCAGGCATTTTAGCAGAGCAGCAGACGGCTTTCCGGAACTAGCCTGGGCGTGCGAGCAGTGCCTGTGAGGCCCCAAAGCGGGGAAGGCCGGCGGCGAAAAACCTCTGCCTAGGCGCTCCTCGGGCCCCTCCCAGCGACCGGAAGGCCTCAGCCTCAAGGACCCGCGGGTTCTCAGTCCAGCCCGGCCACCACCGCGCCGCCGCGCTCAGGTCCTTCTCCAGCCCGGCCGTGGGGTCTCCCCTCTTACTACGCAGGGGCCAAGGGGCGTGGCGCGATGACGCACAGGGGACCGACGCGATGACGCAGCGCGACGCGGTGACGCACGCCCCTTTGTTGGCTCAGTAGCGGTAGCAGCGGCCGCGGAGGTGGCGCTGGGGACTGTTTTCCGTCCGAGGCCGGAGCGGAGCGGTGTCTGACTGAGGTGGGCAGCAAGCGGCCCCCGCGCTCCCTCCCGCCCTGCTCCGCGCCCTCCCGGCCGCCGCCGCCGCCCACCTCCAACCC